AAAATAACAATCAGTAAAAGAGTTTTTATACAAAATCTACCATCACCTTCACTTAATACACCTGGTTGCATATCAAAGTAAATCATTTGAATCATGAGTACAACATTAGAAAGTCATAGTTTTTTTCAAAATCTTGTGTCCATGTTTTATTTTCATTACCACACTAAACTGTAAACGAGAATGTACACAAACTATTATAGCATTTACAAAGAAGAAAGGACAATAAATTGTGATAACTTTATAAGACATGATAAATGGTCCATAATCTACACAGTGATTATTACATTGATTATATGTATTCCTTTGCTTGTTTTTTCTTTGGTTTCCTTTATTTAAATGTTAGACTAAACTTTAGTAATTCAATATATCTTAGTTTAATGATGTCAAATATATCAATGGGAAGAAGATAGGACTGTTTGTAAATAGTTGAGATTTCATAAGTGACATTTAATCAAGCGAAAAATTCAAATTCGCTTATATTGTACGAAATGTCATTACGAATGAAATAGTTTTGTTTTTCTACATAATGAAAATCCATAATTTTCTTACGGTTTACATTGCTTTTTAATAGGGAATTTTTTTTAAGATTCTAGAAGGGAAGTTATTTTTGCGAATTTCATATGACCGAAAAAATCGTTAACCTTTTGTCATTCAACAATAGTTATTCATCTATATGTTGATTGTTACATCAGACACAAAATATATTGAAATAACCAGATAGGGACAGAGTATTCTATTATGAACAAAGTCAAATGGGTTAATACAATGTTAAATACTGTCATCAATATTTCTTTTTTATGAATTATCAGGTTGGATGAAAGCTGATGTTAGCAAACCCATTATTTCTTAATTAAATTGATGAAATGGTTGCTCAACTTCGCTGATTAGTTGAAGTTAGACATTAACACCGTTGAACATCGACTCAGTGATCTATCGGTCAGGTGCTCCGGCGCGAGACTGGTAGGTCTTGCGTTGGAATCTCGTGAGGCGGGATCGTGGATGCGCAATGCTGAGAAGTTCCACAGTAAGACGAAACGGCCGTCCAGTGCTTCCAGGTTTTCCATGGTGGTCTAGCTTCAATTGACTCATGATTTCAACTATATATATATATATATAAATTAGCCTAATTAAAATTTTGATTAGTTGGGTTTCTACAAATTGATTGGCCGAATTTTATGAGCTCTGACAATTAGACAATTAAGAATTAATTGATACCAGTTAGATCTTATATTTTAGTCTTTCAGAAGGTCACCCCGATTTTTAGTTTTTATTTGATAATATGACAGTGTCATATTAAAATATTCCACAAACGCAAATGATTTTTAAAGAGTCATTTGTATTTCCTTTTACGATTATAATAGGAAGTGGTTGAATTTTAAAAGGCACTACCATTAAAAATTATTATTTAGTTGGGTAACAGTAAAATTACAACTTCAAAAAAGAGGAAAATGAAGTAACCATCAGTTTTCTCGCTTGCAAAACTGTTACGACCTTTACATCATTACGACACAATACAGTATACAACTGACGGCACTCAAACGTGTAGAACCCCACAGTCGCAAATCAAACGACGGAAGAGGCAAGGGAAACTGTCATTGGTTAAAAACCAGAAATGTACAGAAAAACAGGGGTATTTATAATTTTTATTCTTGGCTATAACATTATTCTAATCCAGCCAATCTACAAGGAGAAAATTACGCGAATGTGCAATCATAGCATGCCACGTCATTATTCTGGAAGGTTCTATCAGGTCTCTACGGCTTCTTTAGAGTCTTTGAAGACTTCACTGTGCTTTTCCGAACCATCCTAACGAAAACATCGAAAAATATAGTACTTTTTTGAAATCCAGTAAAAATTAAAACCAATATGTTAATAGATGAAATGTTGACGAGATGTAATAATCTATGTCATAACAGAATGTGTTGAAGAAATTAGTTTGTCACATCATTTTAACCATTTAAGGGAGATAGTGAAGAATGTTCTTCCTTTTTACTTTACAGTTTTGAAGAATATTGGAATTTTATTACATCGTGAATAATACGTTTAATTGAAGTCACTAAAACAAACACATGCATTCTTAAATAGTTTCACTATCTTGAAAAAGATGACTTTTGTGACATGCACTAGGAGATTTTGATTGCAGAATTCATAAATTATCATTGGATGGTCAGATAAAGAAAGAACAGAAGGATTCATTTACATTTTCATAGTTCTGTATTAAGGAATTTGTTCGTAGAAATTTTGATCATTGGCACTTTCGATTTAGATAATATTTTTAGTGCGACTATACAAAGAGGTGATTGATGTAGATGTAAATGTATAAAGTTAAGCTACTATAAAGTAGCTATTATTAAGTTTATAAAGCATGAACAACAGAGTGTTCCGTGAATTTGGCAAATAAACGTTCATTAATAACCGATTAGAAAAAATAAAACTAAGCTGTTGAAAGACCTAACGTGTGCAGGTATTTTTTAGACATTTGTTACTTTTTCCACTATGACTTTAAATTGCAGGGTTTAGTAACCGATATGTTAAGCGAGACTATTCACATAGTTTCCTTAGCAACGTAAGCAGCCATACAGCGAATTAACTCCTTATTGACTATTAGAAAATCCTATCGGTAATACGCCACTTGCTCGATTATTTTTCAATATGCGCCTAATATTTACTGTTCATGTATATCAACGTAAAGTATCAAAGCCTAGAGGTGTGATTATAATTGTATTTAAGAAAAACTGTAACGTTGTAAATAGTTCTCCTTCTTCATGAAAAAAACTTATTTGAAAAGTATGAAGTTGTTTTCATAGAAACAAAGGTATAAATTAGATTTCTCAACGGGTAGAAATAGAAGTAGAAGACAAACATCTAAGTATTTGGTAGACTTTTTGAAATCAAACACTACAATTCATATCATAGATAGATAATAATGCAGTTCTTCTTCCTTATAAGCACTATAATTTTATCCTGTGTTCAGTCACAAATAAACAGACACATCAGATATTATTACTTTTTCTTTCACAAAAGAGAATAATCATGTTTCAGAACTATCCTTGTAGTCAAAAGCATTCGTTTTCTTATTTAACCATTCAAATATCTTTTAAGGTTACAAAATTTCAACTAAAGTTATATACATGTAAAATGGAAAGATACTGTTGAGAGTTGTATCTTCAAACACTGTTGTCACAGATAGAAATAATATCAGTGGAAAAATAATTTGCCTATAAAAGAAGATTGATATCCCAAATCAAAAATGACAATTATTTAATCAGTTCACACTTATCGAGAGTGACATACATGTTAACAGTAGTATTGGATGGTCGTTGAACTACGACGGAAATCGATTGAAGTTAGAATTGTTCAATTTTACACCAAGTCGTTGGTTTTAACGATTAACCATTGACCCTAATACCTAAGTATACTGAACATTATGTTGATGATTGTTAAGCCTGAACGATTTGATTTATATCACGTGCTAGGTTCACCAACCAGGATTTCGGTTATAAATTTCCAACACCCTGTCTGCTCTTCTGTCCATAATTAAGCGTCCTAAGCCTTGATCAATGATATGATTCAGTAAACCTTGTGCTAACGTAAGCCTCACTCCTATTGGTTTGCCGGTACCCATTGCCTTTTTTCATAGCCTTGAGTTCAAAAGAAAAGACTGCAGCCAAACTCTTACTATTATATTTCACCCACCCAACCGGGCATCTATCTCAAGCACCCGTTAGCTTGTACAAATGACATTCTGAAATACATATCGCCGTAAAATAGGAAATCATAGTAACGAACAAACTAGATAAAACATGGAATGGAACCAGATGAACCGTAAGTAACTAATTGGTAATAGATTCAGAATAATTAGCGGAAGGTCACAATAAGCAGAATGTAGAAATATTATGATAGTGCATTTTAGTATCGGTTGTTTGAATCTTCCCATTAATGTTTAGAACTGCAATTGATCAATCTCTTATTGACATATTTACATCCTGTTCGAAAAGCTTGAATATTACCTTAAGTCACAAGCATTGTGAGCAGAGATTGATGGTGACTAGCAGTAGAGTCCTAAGAGAGCGTTTCTTCCTATTCGGGACTCGTCAGCTAAGGACCCGTAGTGAATATCAGCTCTGAGATGCAGGTAGATCCAGTTGAAGAGTCATAAATAGGATGAACCGTGCGTCCTGGATTCCACTATTAACTAAGATCCATCTCTACTACAATAGTCATCTACTAACTATACAAGAAAAATATAAATAATGATAATCCACAAGTTAGTCCCAAAAGTTGCACTTTCTTTGATATTCGCTCCTCCACAACATTGAGTCTGATCTTTGTAAGGTTCTGAGTACATCAATATGAGGAGTTCCATACTAGGATAAAACACCTGTCCAGTACTTCCTGAATTTCGATGGTATTCTAAATGAGGTTGATGCACAAAGGATACTCGATACAGTCCTGTCATTTACTCTTAAATGACATTTCTGAAAATAATCTCGTTTAACCGCTTTTGAATATCCATCTGTACCAGTATTACCATGTTTTCTCAAAATCGATCATTAAGATTAATCTAATGAAACAACAGCAAATTTTTATGATTAACCTATTTTATTGAAAAGTATAATATAGATCAAATTCGCCGTTTGATGGTATATTTTGTTGAGATGTAAAATGATAACAGAGAAAATGTTTGTTGCACTGTATCCATTTTTTCAGAAATATTCATGTTAATAGGACTCTTACTACAGAATTATTTAATAGTACAATCTCTTACATATAGTCAACCTAATTATAGAGATTTTTCGTGTACTGAATGATTAAATTAATTCGTTTAATATCAGTCAAAATCGCCACTTATAGGGCTATGTTTTCTGGTAAGTTTTGATAGCTTTCCATTTCGTGTGTAGCACACTAAATGTGCGCTGTATTTATCTTGAACTACTCTCCACTTTCATATTCATTTACTACTTAGTTTAGTCTCTTGTATACATTTTTTCCACTTATAGCTGCATACTATGGGGATATAGCGTTGGATGAACATGAATCTCAGATAATGTTGTCAAAAGGCATGGTATTATCTGATGACCCATTACAAATATGGAATTTGGAAGATAATAAAGAAACGAACACTGGGAGAAATAAACATTCTAACATACCTAATTCTAACCCATTGGATGATATTAAAAGAGAAATAAGGTAGGTCTAGTTATTCTGATCATTGTATTTATTTGTTTGGTGTATTACAAAAGGAGTTGGCAATTCATCCAAACATATGATAGGAACATGTCGTAGGATTAGCCTTTAAATAGGCACACGGTTCTTTTCATAGAAAGACTACTATCAAGTTTTTTTCCAATTTTAATACTAGAATAATTATGCTCTCCTTAAATGTTCTGACTTTGAACTTACCCTGGTAATTTTAGTTTCATCTTCAGTCGCCAAAGATGATATAAGAGTGAACTTTATGCTTTTTGTTATAAATTCTTTTATTATTATTTAACAACTCTTCGTTTTTTGCCTAAAATAAAATAATCATTAAGCGAATGATCTAATTATCAAATGTGGTCTATTTTGATTACATCATAGTCTTTATATCCAAAATATCCTCTTTTCTTGCAGTAACTAAAATTTATAGTACAAAGCTAGTTGTATTAAACATACTGATGAGAAAATGAATTAAATACAATAGTAACAAAGCAACTGTTGCTCGATTCACATTTTGTTTATCGGCAAATATATACATTTAAACTATTCATCAGAAAACAGTTTAACTGTTCGAACTGTTACAAATGAGGTCATGGAACAAAGTGTCACTGCTTCACAGTAATAGTTTTCCTGCTTGAAAAAAATGCTGATAAAATTGGGAAGAAATAAATTTAACCAGTGTAACAATAACTACTTCGTCTCAAATTTGACCTCTATCTATTTCAATCAACTTAATTTGTGTAGCAAACACACATACGATTTGACTTAAATCTCTGTTCAGAACTCATTCATTAAGTTTAGATGTTTTTTTCATGTCTTAATTGACGTAAAATGTTTCAATGAGAAAGTGGAAAATATTGTGCTCAAAAGTTTTTTCAATTATTAGAAAATTATCAGTGTGGGTTTGTGGAGATTGTAGTAGTTTTAATAGTGTAATTCATGAGCCCATCTAAGCTAGACCACCATTGAAGACCTGGTAGCACTGTACGGCCATTTCGTTCTAATATGGGACTCCTCAGTAGTGCTCATCCATGATGAATCCAACTATTAAAATTACTACAATCTCCATAAACCCCCATTCTGATAATAGTCATGTCCCTACTAGTGATTAGCTTCAAGATGGACTTCCTGGAGTTCTTGTGAAAAGCCGTGACAAGTAGATTCTAATCCGTGTCCGGTAGAGACATTTGTTCACCACAGATAATGGATAAAGGGTTGTGCAAGATCATGGGATGATTGAAGTTTGACATCAACACCGTTGGATGCCAGTTCAGTGGTTTAAAGGTTAGGCGTTCATGCGCCTAGGTCGATCCTAGGTTCGAGTCCCACATGCGGGATCGTGAATGTGCACTGCTGAGAACGCTCGTACTAGGACGAAACGGCCGTGCATCGCTTCCAGGTTTCCTATGGTTGTCTAGCTTAGATCGACTCATGAATTCAACCAATAACATTGAAAATTACTTGTAAAATCCGATAATCTTTTGATATATAGTTCTCATTCAAACATTTAAACCACGAATTTTAGCATAGGGGTCCCTTTCCAATGAATTTGTTATAAAGCTGTACAATCATATGTATATATTGAAAAGACAATTTCAATCTCTTCACTACTCAATTTTTATGGATTATACCGATGTTTAAATGAGATTTAACATTGTTTTGAAAGTATATCCTCATAATTAACAGGGTTACCATGTATTTTATTTCTATGTATGTAATACATATGAGCACAGGGCGATGAAATCCATTGCACGTATATCATATAAATCTGAGGTTTATTCATTCCCCAATTATTTTTCCATACTTATCATTTGGCTGTTAAAAAGTTTAGTTATTCCGTTCTCGAAATCAATCCACGAAGTGAATAATTACACATGTTCTATAAAGTATCTTTATCTTGACAATGTTTCATACGGCATTAGGTCGTTGAATAACTTCCTTTGTATATCTGGTTATTTCAAACAATTTATTAGCAGTTACTACATATTTTTTCCTCTGTAATTCATTTTCAGTTTGGTTTATTATTGATTTATTTTTTGATACTTGGTAACACTTTCAATCACAGTTTACATGATACACCATTGTTTCAATTTCATTATGGACTTAAGTATATTATTTAACTATATTTATGGTTGTAAATGATTTCGTCCAAAAGAATATCTTGTTTGCTGAACTGTCTTTTGTTCTTCCTTTTTTTCAAATGACTCACCAGGTTTATTTTGTTTACCATATTAGTTTGAATTATTTAGGAGATATCAATTTTGTCTATAAAATATTATTGAACTATATTTCTAGACTGAATATTAATAACCAGGAAACATAAGTTAGTTATATATGTATATACCTAATGGAGAGATTGACAAAATAAGATAAATGGTTGGTCGAAGTTTATTGTATTTTCGTTCAGTTAACAAATATATGAGTTTTATAGAGTTGAGATCATGATTCGATTGAAGCTAGACTACCATCGAAAAACTGGATGCTGGTCTAGCTTTAATTGACTCATGATCTCAATTCTATAAAATTACTTAAATCTCCACCAAACCACTTCTAAAAATATATGAGTTCTTGAAAAATGACATAATTCCAATCTCTTCACTACTCAATTTTTATGGATTATGCAAGTGTGTAAATGAGATTTAACGTTGTTTTGCAAGTATATTAATATATAGAGTAACAGAGTAACCATATGGATTATTTCTATGTATATTCATAGACACTGTAAAACGTTGAATGTCTTATGAGTAGGTTTATTTTAAATAAAAGACATTTTCACTTTCAAGACAAATAAAGTTTACTCTTGTTACTTTAAAACAAGTTTACTGCATCATACTGACCCAATGAAAACATTCTCTCCGTTCTTTAAAACAAAAATAAATTAAGTAAACATAGAAAGTCAAGAATTTCTGAACAATTGAATCATTTTACTGTTCATATTTTGTCCCATAAGTAGAAATAATGCGTGTCGATTGCCTTTAAGGTTTAAGATTTTTTCATGTGATTATTAGTCTTTGACATATTCCCTATAGAATACTAACCGGCATAGACAGTTTCTATCTCTGTTAAATCTTTTTCACTTGACATAGAGTTATAATAAAAGTTGTTTCTTTTTTGGATTGAGCAATTTAAAACTACCACAGAGAAGGTAGTTTTCTATATTGATTTTCAAATGGTTTATGAACAGTTATTTGGTAATCCAATGAGATTCATAATAAGAAAAACTAGAAGTAGGATAATGTTTTCTACAATAAATCCCAGTTTTCTACTTAACGACTATCTTGTGAATTGCAAAATACAAGTGTCTGTGTTTCTCGAAAGTTTCAGAACTTAAAAAATAAAACTGTCTAGTACTTCTTTTATTTATTTCCGTCATATCTCTGAAAAGAGGGAATTTATACCAAGATAGTGACAAATATTACGTCATGGTACAAGATGTATGAAATAATTAATTCAACAAATTCTTTATTAGCATATATTTTTCCCATTGAGAACTATGTATGTGTATTCACTCGGTATTGTTTGTTTGAGTCTTCCCATTGATGTTTAGCGCTGCAATTGATCAGTGTGTTATTGGCATATGTGCATACTGTGCGAATTGCCTCGATATTGCCTTAGTTCACAAGCATTCACAAGCATCATCTTTGCTTATAATGCTTGTGCGTTGAGGCAATATCGAGGCAATTCGCACAGTATGCACATATGCCAATAACACACTGATCAATTGCAGTGCTAAACATCAATGGGAGCATTCAAGGAAACAATATCAAGTGAATTAACTTCAACTCATTGCACAAGCAAGTGACTATGAGGACTCAGTAGCTGACTGAATAACGCAATAGCGTTTGAAGCGAAAGGTACTGGGTTTGAGTCCCAGAGTGAATATCAATTCTGGGATGCAGGTACATCCAGCTGACGAGTCGCAAATAGAACGGAACGCCCGTCCTGGATTCCACTGCTAGCCACTATCCATCTTTGCTTATATGTATGTCTATGTGACCCTGTGATTACAGATAGGCATATCAGGCGTAATCATTTTCATGATTATTGTTCATCATCACTGTATATTTGAATATTGAATATTTACATTCTGCCTTGTTTAATTCCTTGCTAGGATTATCTTATTCAGAAAAGTGATAATATTGAAAGGACAAATAATCCTAGCATAGAACTATAACTAACTACATAGGAAAAATAAATTACAAGTAATCTTCTTGAAGAAAGAACAATCATAAAGATTTTTATCTATTAGAGATATGAGCTTATCAAATAGTTTGCTTTTGATTAACAATAATGTACATAAGTATTTTGTCATAAATAGTTTATTTAAGATTCACTATGTATTCGCTCTATTTCCAATTCTATTCATATAATTAATACTGATTAATGTAAGGTCTGTTGATAATATTATGTATTAGTACTGGTATAATATTTAGTACTAGTTGTACATTTAAAGCTTGACAGATCATATCAGCTTTATCTTACATATATTTAATTAAATAAAGGATTATTATTGTAAACAGCTGTTGTGTTTCAACACAAAAAACAACAAAGAAAGACAAATATTTAAGTGTTTTGTTTTATTTGAAAAAGTTTACGATGATATAACAAGAAGTTCACAGCTGTACTTATTCGTTACTAGGGTTAAAAGTTTTTTTCTTAGAATATTGTTAATCACTGTTACATGGTTTCATAATATAATAGTAAGTGGTTCACTATTCCCGCTCATAACGTGCATATAATATGGAACATGATGACAACGCTGTTATTGAGAAATTTTTATATGTTACTTTTATAGTACACAGAAAGGTCAGATCTGCATCATATTCCATGATTTCCCTCGCAAAACAGAATATCGTGAAGAAACTTACATCATTTAAAGCATGAAAGTTTATGAGGAACACTCCCACACGATCGTGGATCGACTTCATCCTTCCAACTAAACCACAACCCACTATCTACTTCTCCTTTGATAGTTCTGCATGCATGGTAAG